GAGGGCTGAGGTTCGCCCACGGGCTGCTCTCGGGGTCCCTGCCTGTCTGGCAGGGGTGGGCATGCCGAGAAAGGGATTGAAATAAACTCCTACTGACCCGTGGAGGTTGCAAGGTTGATGGATTGATAGTCATTCATTCGACAGAGTGCGAGGAGCTGCTGAGGAGCTCCAGGCAGGAAGTTAAAACCGTCAAGTTCACAGTCTTCCGAGGAACACGGACACGATGACCGCCCAGCCCGGTGCCACGCTTTTCCTGGACAACGTGGGGGGCCGCAGGAGAGAGCCCGGAGGAGCTGGGGGAGAGGCGGCGGCCGGAGGAGGGCCTCGGAGGAGCAGGTGTTTGTGGGAGGGGCGGGTGCGAAGGCGGCACGAGGTGTGGGGGGTGCCGGAACCCTGTGCTCATTAAGGAGCTGACCGGGCTCACCTGGCCAGGAACGGGAAGAACCAGCCTTCAGACCCGTGGGGCCGTGGGTGACCCCCACCCCGGCGGGACCCGCACTCGCCACACGTCAAGGAGGAAGCGAGCAGGATAGCTTCTGAGCACGCGTGGCTTTGCCTTGAGGGGGTTCATACCAGAGCGTGGCTCCGGGTCGTCTTGTTTCCGAATCGATTTAATTTAGTCCTGAAAATCACACAGTTTCTTAGATTTTTTTCCCCTCTCATTTTGTTTGGGATCCTGTCAGCTCTGCTTAACTCTAATTAAAGACAAGTGCCCAAAGGTGTGTGATGTTTTCTCTCCATCAGCGATATGTGGACACACACACACACACACACACACAGAGCTCTCTAGACTAATTTGATCTCATCATTTAAATGACTAAAAATAACTCCTGACTGCTTAAAAACACGAAACGATCTCTATCAAGTTCCTATCCCTATTAGACAGAAAAAATTTTTAAAGCAGATTGAAAAAAAATGGTATTAAACCTCTTACTGGAAGAAAGGTCCCTTCTGGGCAGAGATCACGCCAAGGCAATTTTAGCTCAAATTGCTTTTCCTGGAAAAGCTGAAAATGCAGTTCAGAAAGGACAGGCCTTGGCAACAGCACAAGCTGGCGCTCAGAGGCCAGCAGGCCAGTCTGCACACCCCCCGCTGTGAGTCTCTGGTCCTGGGGTAGAAAGGCCCTCCACGGGGGCTGGTTAAATGCAGGTTCCCGGGCCCCCACCGCAGCCCCGGTCCAGACCCAGGTGGTTGTCTTGCAGGGGATCGGAGATCACAGTTCAATAAATGCTGGAAAGACAAACGTCGACAGACAAACGTCGAGGCTTGTGGTTTAACAGGGCCAGAATGAGGGAGGGTGTGCATTACGTTACTCTGTTGCGAAGTGGGTGTTAGGGGCCACCCTAGCCCGAGGCACAGGCCCGTCACTATGGGTGTGCTTCTGGGTAAGTCGCGGACTGCCTTTGGGTTTCGGTGTTCTTTTCTGCAAAACGAGAAGCCTGGATGACACCCCCAACCCCCAGCTGACCATCATGACACCCTCCCCAGTGGGCATCACCTAGTGGGCCGCTGTCGCGGGGTGGCGGGGTGGTGGGGTGGCGGGGAGGCTGGGCACTCTCCGGCGCGCCAGGGCAGGAGCAGAGCAGCGGCCATCGCTGCTGCCGCCGCTCACGGACGCCAGGTAAAAAGGGCTTCGGGAGGGAACGGACCGCAGGTCCTTTCCAGCTTCCTGCTTCTCTCCAGCCTCATCATTTATTTCTAAAAGCTCTTCGGACGGGAAGTGCTCTCACAGCCTTGAATCGCTCCTAAATTAGGTTCTAACACAAGACAGAGCTGGTGGTGGTCCTCTTGAAACCTCTCCTACAATCTAAGCAGGCGCACGCCAAGGTGCAGCTCGGTCGGGTTACCCCTAGTTCTGAGGATCTAGAGCTGCGTCTGGGGTGGGGGGGGTCGCCAACACCCCCAGGCCGTCCTCAGGCCATCTGCTCACTGGAGGCCGGGCTGCAGGAGACGGGGCGGGGGGGGAGGTGGGTGATTAACCAGACCCTGCCGCCAATGCCCTTTGGCTTCCCCACGCGTGGGAGGCAGTTGCTAAGCCCGTATTTCGGTGGATTATGAAACCGTGTACCAGGAAAGTCCACACGGGACCTCGTGAGGGTGGGCGAGGGGACTGAATCCAGTGGGGTTGTTAACAAAAGCTCCGTTTAACAATAATTTGGTGTCACGCAGCATGAAGATGCGGTTACATGAAGCTTTTAGAGCATGTTATCAATCCATTTTTTTAAAGTTTTTTAAAATTACTCATTTATTTTTAGAGAGAGGGGAAGGGAGGGAGAAAGAGAGGGAGAGACATGAATGCGTGGTTGCCTCTCAGTGCCCCCTCCTGGGGGCCAGACCTGCAACCCAGGCGTGTGCCCTGACTGGGAATCGAACCAGCGATGGTTTGCTTTGCAGTCTGGCGCTCAATCCACTGAACCACACACCAGCCAGGGCTATTAATTTATTTTGAATCCTCACCCGAAGATATGGTTGTTGATTTTTTGTTTGAGAGAGAGGGACAGAGAGAGAGAGAGACATCGATTGGTTGCCTCCCCTATGTGCCCTAAGGAGGGGTCAAACCCAGGACCTAGGGATGTGCCCTGACCGGGCAGAGAACCCACAACCTTTCGTGTGCGGGATGATGCTCCAGCCAACTGAGCCACTGGGCCGGGGCTTAGAGCATTTTCCAAAAATCGGTAATAGGGCTTTGCGGGATGACGCTGACCCTGGCTGGTCCTCTCCAGAATTTACCATGTGCCAGGCACTCGATGCAAAGGGGGGAGCCTTGCCCTGGACCCGCTTCCCACCGGGGGAGGAAAATCCCCACGCAGAAGGTTGGCGGCGGCAGGGAGACCCTCCGGTGTTCTGGGGACACGCATACGGACAGCCCATCCTGGGGATCAAGAGAGCCACCAAGCGGGAGGCGGTGTCCGAGCCCAGACCTGGAACACGAGTAGCACTTGGCTGGGCAGCGTGGGGGGCGGGTCGCAGAGGGGCAGCCGAGGGACTGGCATGCACTGGCCCACCCCCACGGAGGTGCCTGGGTGGGAGGGGGAGGGGAGACGGCAGGTCCCCAGAGTGCCTGGACCGGACGTGGAGGACAGGTGGGGATGGGGTAAGACGCGGCAATGGAGAAACAGCGTCAGCCCCGACGCCCAGGACGGCAGCCTGCGGCGGCGGGGGGCGCGCAAACCCCAGCACGCCCGGGAGCCGCCCGGAGGGCCCGTGAAGCCGCGGGGCTCCGGGCCCATCGCCAGGAACTCTGGCTCAGTGGGTCCCCGTCCTTTCTGTGGAGCTTCCCAGCGACCCCGGGTCCCTGAGTGGGAACTCCGTGTCCGACAAGATGACAACGGCCCGTCACAGCTCAGAACCCGGGTGTCCGGATACCCGACCCCACAGGGTTTCCGTGACGCCACCTTACCTCAGCCCACATTGAGTCAAATTGTCAAATGAAGGACTTTCCCGGTGGAAAATGGCTTCCTGGGGGGATGACTTTTACGCAGCATTCCCCACTTGGAACGGTTCTCCGTGTGCTGGTGCCAGAGCCGGCACCAGACCGCGAACCTGGACGAGGGACCACCGGGGGGGCGGCGCTGAGGTGGCGCTGCTGTGCCCGCACCGCGGTCCCCGGGCTCCTGGCTTCCCCGACTCCGACCCTTTCCCCACCCTCCAACCGTCTCGTGGCCGGAACACCAGCCAGACTCTGAAAGGAGCTGGGTGATGAGAAAAATAAAAAAATAAAAATGGATTTCAACGGAGACTTGAAGATTTTCTGTGGATAATTACCCACGTCCCACCATACCCAAGGAAAACAAATCAATTTCAATTAGGATACAAAGAACTTCTCTCGGAAAATGTGCGACGGAGGGGCCGGCCCTGGTCCGGGGAGTGTATTATGCCTAAGAAGAATCTTGACCGCAGAGGGCACCACCCTGGGATGAAACACTGGGGGGCACTGAATTTTATTCTAGCAACCACGGGACGGGGGCGGGGCGGGGAAACAAAGACGAAGGAAGCAGGGTGAAAAATAAGGTGGGGGGGAGAGAGAGAGAGAGCCAGCGAGGGAGAGAGGGAGAGAGGAGGCAGAGAAACTTGTTAATTACAGGGCCGGGAGAGCGAGATATTTCTCTTCCTTTCACAAGGTAGAAGCTGTTGAATAATTCATGCCGTGTGGGGAGGCTGCCTTTTCCCTGGGTGACGGATAACTCGGCAGGAGAGAGCTTCAAGTGGGTTCGCCCTGTCAGCCACCCCTCTCTCTCTCTCGCTTCTGAGCACGGGGTGGGTGCTCCTCTCCCGAGCTCAGCCTCTGCGCTGCAGACGAGCATCCTGGCAGCGGGCTGCCTCCTGCCCACGAGCCGGGCTCGCAGCCCGCTGGGGCTCCCGGCCGGCCGCCTGCAGGCTGAGGAGGCTCCCCGCGGCTGGTGGCTGGCGGCTGGCGGCTGCCCGGGGCCATGTGCCTGCAAGCTGCTTGGGAGACTCGGGCACTTGCTCTTGGCATGGATCCCCGCTGAGCGTGCCCTGCTGATTTCGGGACCACAGATGCTGCTGATGAGGAGGAGTTTCCTGGCGTCCCTCCCTCTGCCACTGCCGGCTGAGGACCAGCCCAAAAGTAAGATATCCCCAGCTCCTTTCCCCTGGCAATTTCCCCAGCTGAGCTACCTCTGCTTCCTCCTGGAAACTAGGGGCTCCACCTGGCAGTGTTCCCCAGCATGCGTGTGAGTGTGTGAGTGTGTGAGTGTGGACTTGTGGGGCAGAGGGAGGCTGTTTCTTTTCGGCATCGCTCTGTTCCAGAGCTCCACTGGTGCCTGCCGAGTGCAGAGGCCCGTCCCTGGGGCGGGAGACACTCCCCAGGCACACACCTGTCATCTGCCACCCCCGTCTCCTCCAGGCTGCCTCTCCCCCTCCCTGAGCCCATGTTCCTGCTTCAGCCTTCTGCGTCGCTGGCAGGAGGCTGAAGGGTGTCTTTGCCCTCCCTGCAGGCGGGAGTCGGCATGGGCCACGCCGCCAGGAGCCCGTGCTAGCCCGCGAGGTGTGAAGCGCTGGCCACGATGACCAACTCCTCCTCCGAGTCTGCGTCCTCCACGGCCGGGGGGTCGCTGCTGCTGCTCTGCGAGGAAGAGGGGTCGTGGGCCGGCCGGCGCATCCCGGTGTCCCTCCTGTACTCGGGCCTGGCCATTGGGGGCACGCTGGCCAACGGCATGGTCATCTACCTCGTGTCGTCCTTCCGCAAGCTGCAGACCACCAGCAACGCCTTCATCGTCAACGGGTGCGCCGCCGACCTCAGCGTCTGCGCCCTCTGGATGCCGCAGGAGGCGGTGCTGGGGCTGCTGCCAGCCAGCGCGGCCGGGCCCCCAGGGAGCTGGGACGGAGCGGGGGGCAGCTACCGCCTGCTGCGGGGCGCGCTGCTGGGCCTGGGCCTCACCGTGTCCCTGCTGTCTCACTGCCTCGTGGCGCTGAACCGCTACCTGCTCATCACCCGGGCGCCCGCCACCTACCAGGCGCTGTACCAGCGGCGCCACACGGCGGGCATGCTGGCGCTGTCCTGGGCGCTGGCGCTGGGCCTCGTGCTGGCGCTGCCGCCCTGGGCGCCGCGCCCCGGCCCCGCGGCCCCGGGCGTGCACTACCCCGCGCTGCTGGCGGCCGCGGCGCTGCTGGCGCAGACCGCGCTGCTGCTGCACTGCTACCTGGGCATCGTGCGCCGCGTGCGCGTCAGCGTCAAGCGGGTCAGCGTGCTCAACTTCCACCTGCTGCACCAGCTGCCCGGCTGCGCGGCCGCCGCCGCCGCGCTCCCCGCCGCCCCGCGCGCGCCCGGCCCCGGCGCCCCGGCGCTCCCCGCGCTCTCCGCGCCCGCGCCGCCCCTGCCGGCCCCGCTGCAGCCCCGCCGCGCGCAACGACGGCTCAGCGGCCTGTCGGTGCTGCTGCTGTGCTGCGTCTTCCTGCTGGCCACGCAGCCGCTCGTGTGGGTCAGCCTGGCCAGCGGCCTTGCGCTGCCCGTGCCCTGGGGCGCGCAGGCGGCCAGCTGGCTCCTGTGCTGCGCGCTGTCTGCCCTCAACCCGCTGCTCTACACCTGGAGGAACGAGGAGTTCCGCCGCTCCGTGCGCTCCGTCCTGCCCGGCGTGGGTGAGGGGCCCGCCGGGCCCGCCGCCGTGGCCCAGGCGCCGCTGGGCTCCCGCGCCGCAGGCCAGCAGTGGTGACCGGGGGACGCGGAGAGTCCCGGCTCCCAGCGGCCCGGCTCCCCCTTCGCCTCCCGCCCTCGGAAAGGGTCCCCTGACCCGAGGCTCCAGCGTGAAGCCCAGAAGACTGGTGCGAAGGTCTCTCCTTTCACCCTCAGGGGGGACACGCGAACCGAGGTCTCTCCCTGAAGGGGGTCCCGAAGTCTTTTTGGGCGGCCCCCTGATTTTTATTCCTTGTTTCTGTGGTTTAGAGACTTCCCAGCGCCAAAACACCAGAGAGAGAGAGAGAGAGAGAGAGAGAGAGAGAGAGAGAGAGACCTGGAGAACTTGCAAAACGACATTAAAAAAACAAAACAAAACAGCTCATGTATTTCAACAGTTTCGGAAAAGAGCTGGGATAACACGTTGTTACCCTTTCACCTTCGTCGTCTTAGGAAGTGTGTGGAGCGCCCTGAAGCAGCCTGAGCCGCAGGGAGCACTGCGGATCCAAGGACGCACATTTTGCACGTCTCTCAGAAAGCACCCCGTCCTCGAGGGCTCACCTGGAGAAGGAAGCGGCAGGTGCGCACCCCGGGATGACTGGCCGTGAAGACCTCAAACCCTTTATTCTTAAAAGGGTTTTTTATATAAAGCAAAATCCTTCCCGAATGAGATAGAATCTTAGCCAGTGAGAAAAAACAACAACCCAGGTAGATTGTTGTATACTCCTTTCTGCACTTCGTTTTTTTTTAAAGATTTATTTATTTATTTATTTTTAGAGAGGGAAGGGAGGGAGAAGGAGAGAGAGAGAGAGAAACATCAGTGTGCGGTTGCTGGGGGTCGTAGCCTGCAACCCAGGCATGTGCCCTGACTGGGAATCGAACCTGCGACACTTTGGTTCGCAGCCCGCGCTCAATCCACTGAGCTACGCCAGCCAGGGCCCGTTCTGCACTTCTAAGTGACGCTGAGTGTTAGAGGGAGACGTTCCCATCGTGCCCATCGATGCTCTGTGCCAGCGATGGGATTCTGAGGGCGCCGGCGGCTTCCCTGTTTCGGGCGCCAGGCTCCCGTCTTCCGTAGCATGCCCACTTGTTGCGACCCCCTCGTTCTGCAACCCACTGACTCGCCTGAGGGGTGTGATTGCAGCTTTGAACTCTGTGCCATCGCGGCTGCAAAGGAGAGCGAGTTCTTCTGTTTTTTCTCTTTACCATTAAAAACATCTCCATGCACACAATCTATCACACCCCAACGATTCCGTGACTGCGTAGCTCATACCAGCTGCTGTTGCATGCTCCTGGATGCTAGAACTTATCGGGCATGTGGTCCACTAAAGCAATACTCACGACACAAGGACACTTTCCTTCTTCCGGATGCCAGGAGAGGCAGCCTTCGGTTGTTTGGAAAGGGTCACAGAGACACCTCCGGCCCCCCCGAGTCCTTCTCCTCTTGACCCAGTTTATGAGAGAATGCGCAGCTGGGACACTATCTTGCCCAATGGAACCGGTCCAGGTGGATCAATCGTATGGTTTGCAAGGCTACCTGTGCTCTCTCAGGGCCTGGGTAAGCCACCCGTTAGAAGGCAGCACTGTTTCCTATGCAGTTTGTATGTATTGCCGTGACAGTAACACTAACATCGTGTCTGTCCGAGGAAGTGTAACAAACTCAGTTATAAGCAACGGGCAGTCTAAATGGGAGTGCATTGTACAATGTCTGCTTTGAGGTTTGCCATTTTCCTGTCTGGTTTAGTAAGTTTATGTAGAAATGTGGGAAATGCACAATTGTGTAAAATCACTTTATCACGTGGAAGTGGGAAGAGATTTACAGTCGACATGTGTCAGCAACCTGACCGGGCCGATCGGCCTCAGTGACCTGGGTGACTGCTTTGTCCCTCTCCTGGACACGGGGAGCTGGGAGCCCGAGACACTCGTGCATTTGAGTAACTGTGGGAGCGGCAGGACACTTGGACGGGCCTGTGCTAAAGCAAAGCCAAACGGGTGTGTTCAGCGCCACCAACAGGAGGTCGGCAGCCGTGTTACCGACCTCACCCCTCAGTGCATGCACCTTCCTCTCGCACCAAGGTCTCATCTGTTCCCGTTTCCCTGGATTCAGATCATTAAAGTGGAGACAACCGTTCCTCCGAGTTTTCTTCTGTCTCTGGTCTCGCATCCCTCCTTGTCACTGTGACAGGGGACGCCGTGTTCCGAAGCACCCTTGGGGAAAGCACAGTTGTTTTTTTTTTTTGTTCTGGCTTTCTTTAATTTTATTGTTGGTTTCTAAAATTATCCCCACTTACATAATAATGAAAGAGGGTGGGTATCCCAGCGTTGCAAAGACATAGGTATGATTTCCACTCGGGGAACAGGTTGCAGTGACTGCAAAGCGGAGGGTTTTCCTCTTGGGGAGGCTGGGGTCCCTTTGCCACGGTGGAGGCAGGCTCACCGGCTCGGAGAATAGACTGACAGCTGGCAGGGTGGGGGTGGGGCGGGGCGGGGCTGGGTGAGACGGGCGAAGGGATTAGACAACGGATACAAAGAAAACACACAGAAAACAGAACAGTGGTTACCGCAGGGAAGTGGGTGGGGGAGGGGGGAGACGACCTCGGGTGGTGAGCACACCACACAATGCACGGGTGCTGTATCGGAGAACCGTTCCCCCAAAGCCCGTATAATGTTATTAACCAATGCCACCCCAATGAATTCAGTTTTTTTTTAAAAAGCTCTTCTTTGAATTAGGCCTTTCTCCTCGTTTCTTCTCACTGTGGATGCTGCAAACAGTTTCTCCCGATGTTTCCACCAATTCCTCCCACACCTGGAAACTCAGCTGTTCATGCGCATCTGCACAGTTTCCTGCCAACACCGGGAACCGTCTAGGCCGGCTCAGGCCCACGGGGAGACCCGCTTCAGGTTCTGATTCCCGGTGATGAACGGCACGGGACCGGCTCACTTCTAACCTCCAAGCTGGGAGGATGTGTCTGAAAGTGCCGGGGCGCTGGCCGGGGGAGTCGGAGTTCCCGCATTTACTAATTACATTAATGGAGACTGTGCCCGGATCCAAATGAAGCCCCATTGTTATCTGCTCAGGAACACAAAAGCCTGATGGCTGTCGTGGGCTGCCCTTTTCTGCTTGTCGGGGTGCCCTTGCACCTCAGTGGCTGAGTTCCCGGGTGTGAGGGGCACTACTGGCGGCGTTCCCTCCCTTCCAAAGTGAAGCAGGCGCCGAAGCAAGACTCCGGTCCCATACAGAGGTGTCCACAGGTGGTTTCCGCTTCAAACACGAAGGGGAGGTTTCCAAGGTCAGACACGTTACCCCCCGTCACGAAACGAGGGGGGAAGCCTCCTCCAGTGGAGGTGTTGTGTCTTTGGGGGTATCCCGGGGGCAGGGCGGGGGGAGCTGAGGCTGGGACTCGGTGTAACTCCGGGCCAGTGAGAGCCCGTGGAGAGAGCTCTGCTTTGTCCCCGAGTTCGGCGCAGCCCTGTTCTGCTGACAACCGCAGGCATCCTCATGGTTTCAGTGCGGCCCGGCCCGAGTGCCTTCTCCCAGGGACTCCGGGGCTCACGGCCCCTCCCCTGTCCTGTGAGCTGAGTGGGCCAGGCACCAGGGACCCGATCTACATCCAAGAACACCGAGAAACACTGTAGGCGTCCCTTACTTTCGGACATTTAAAAGTATCTGTGGGCTGGGAGGCAAGAGTGGGGCCCCAGACGGAGGTCTCGGTCGCGGGAACAAGGGTGGGGGGTGTTTCTCTCCAGGTCTCCTCTCCCGTTCAGTACTTCAGGGGCTCCATCCAGGGAGACCATCCAGCAGGACGCCCGCAGGGCTCAGAGCGTGCCCAGAGGGGCCCGGAGCCGCAGGGCAAGGATTTCTGGGCTCCGGGTTCCAGTGCCTGTTGAGGGGGCAGGCTCCAGACAGGCACTGGTCCTTGGCACCCCCTCCCCATCCTGGGGGGGGGGGGAGGGGCGTGGCCAGGGGCAGGCAGGCGCAGGCAGGCTCGGGGCCCATCATTTCAAGGATGAGACCCAGGTTGGGATGGCAGTTTCTGGAATCTAAGGGTGATGCTGATTGATTGACGCAGGCCCCTCACGGGCACCCTCTCCTAGCTCCTCCCACCGGCCGGCGGGCCTTCCCGCATCAACTCCGGCCTAATGCACTGCAGGTGAGGCTGAAGCGTGGGGGGTGGGGGAAGGGTACAGGTGAGACCGGGTGGGTCGGTTGTGGAAGGGGATGATGGGAACGTGGGGCACACTGCAGTTTTCTTCACTTGTGGGTATCTTTGAATTTTTTCATAATGAAATGTTTAAAAGAGTGAAGCCGGAACTTGGCGGGGGCGGGCGGCTGGTGGCGGAGAAAGAGAGAAGAAAAGAAGGAAGACAAAAAGCAGAGAAAGAAAAGGAACCGACGGGTCTAAGGCCAGGCAGCCATGCAGTGGAGGAGCTGGAGTTCAGACCTTCCGTCTGACCCCGAAGCAGAAGGTGGCTAGGACTGTGCCGGCGCGGGGAACCCGGACTTTCACAGCCGGGTGTGGACTCCGCTCCGTGCCGGGACGCCCCCGACCTCCCCGGCCTGTCTCCTCTCCGTCCCCCGCCCCCCTTCCTTACGTCCCCACGGGTCTGTGCACGCGCGCTGCCCCCTCCACACAGCCCCTGCGGGGCGCCTGGGCCCTGGCTGGTGCGGGCACCTCCCGGCAGGGGCCCGGGTCTCCCGGCTTTCCCAGCCCCCAGCCCGCCCCCCCGCCCCGCCCCGCCCCGCCCCCGCCCCGCCCCGCCCCGCCCCCGCCCCCCCCGCCCCCCCAGGCCGACTGAGCTTCTGTCTGTTTGTTCACGAGAGACCCCCCCGCGGCCCGTGGGTTCTCACCACACATCCCCTTCCTCTCCCCGCCTTATGTGTGTGTGTGTGTGATCTTCGAAACCAGACGGGAAAGGTTGCTGGTTTATTTTTTCCTCCTTTGATTATTTTTTAAAGGGTGCTGTCTTCATCTTTCAGTAGCCGGTTGCCTGAAATATCCTAGATAAGTAACATCTGTTGACAGGTGAAGACAGTCGTGT